CCGCTGAGGATTCGGATTCCTCAGGTCGGCTATGACCCGCGCCATAGCTCGTTCCGGATTTGGGTTGGAAACCTGCCCCAACCGAGTCTCCAATTCTCGTATTTTCCTAGCACCTTCCTCCCGCGGATCACCAGTTGTGCCATCTGGGATCTACACAACACCTACAGTTGGGATCTGCATGGGATCTGCAGTTTTCTCTTCCATCGGCTGCAACCCCTGCACATATGGGGCGTTTGGGTTGACAGCCGGGGTCGATGCTGAGTCAGAATGCACGTCGCTAACGTGCACTGCGTCTAGATCTTCTCTAATCGGAGGAATAGGTTGGTGCCTAGAGTTCGATCTCGAGGGCTGTCGGTATCCACTTCTTGTAGTCCTTGCCAACACGATCAACAACTTCTGATCACGTAATTGTAGGGATAAGTTCCCCACAAACGGCGCCAATGTTCTGCCTGAAGCAGACGTGTCCAACCGTAGGTTGGATGATTGATGTTGGATCTGATGCTTTCTCTCTAGATACCTATGAATTAGGTATCTTGGGGTAGCGGATCACGACACACTGTATGAGGGCCTTTGTAACAGCCCGTTGTACACCGGTATTGTTAACATTAATTATGATATTAAACACAGTTACAATCACAGCAATTCATTTATAAAAATGCGAGTAAACTTTTTCCGTTTATTACGCGAGCATTTAGAACCGTAAAAAGCGTAATAAATGAAAGCTGTGACCATAACTGTAAACTCTTGCGGAATACTTTTTTAAACTATTTGTATATTACTCAATACAAGACACTAAGGGTTTCCCATAAACCCACTTAGCTAATTTCTCAATTTTACATTTTCCACCCATCCGAACATGGTTCGGTTATTATTTTTCTGCGGACACACCGCGCAAAACAAGTCCTTCATCTTTAGCGATCTTTTTTTCTTACTTAATTACCTTTCCAATGAGCCATCACACGAGTCATTTCGATCTTGTTTGCTCTGGATATCGCCGTTTGAAGTTGGATAAGCAAAACTGCCAACCAACCCCAAAATAGCTCCAAACATCCTTCACTCCACGAATTACTGCAGAAAAACCACTCACTCAATTGCTCTTACATTTTTATACCATAAACTAGACACCTCAAGCTTCAATTTTATATATCATATACTTAGTTTTACCAAGAAACGAAGCGGGAATTAATTTCCCAAAAATGGTCCAAAACTGCCACAAGTGCAGTGAGCAATTGGGCAGTCTTCACTCTCTTCCTTCTCCAGGCAGGTTTCCAACCCAGAATTCTCTCAAATTTTATCACAAGTTATAGGACATCTCAACCTTCAAAATGGCGTATGGCACGTCCCTATCAGACCTCTGTGGAGGGAGATATGCTCTTTCGAAGTTCGCCTAAATTCTGCCAATTTTACAGAAAATTCGCCAGAGTTTCCTTTGTTTTTAGGAAAATCCCCAATTTGCAAATGTGATCGAAGTCCTCAAATGTACCTAATAATCAATGGGTGGCACACACAAGGACCAACAATGCCTTGGGGCACTTACAACCCAACTCAATTTATAGTTATTACACAATTCATATAATATTGCTCACTTGATTAATGCTTAATACGTTTCAATCATCAAAGTCCATTTACATGCATTTTTCTAAGCATTCACATATCATAATCCTAAAATAGGTCTAAAGCCCTTCCATCATATTACATCAAGTATCCATTGTACAATTACAACATTTCACTTACATTTTACAACTTACAAATTCATAACTTTAAATTACAACTTGAACATAAAACTCAAAATGACATATACCACTAGCCTTAGGCAAAATGACATGAACAAATATGACTATGAATCACCTCCTACATACATATGAAATGTTCATGCCCTAAGTCTAGCCTAGGCCCAATGGCCATCAAAATGCAAAATACCAGTGATACTCCGGCTAATCATCCTACGGGCTTCTTGCTCGCCGCTCCTGCACCACTGCTACCTCCTGAAATAATGCCCCCAAGACGGAGTGAGATATACGAATATATCTCGGTAACCTAGAGGTTCTGGAGAAAACTCCGCCCAATGGTTCACTTCGAAGCATATAAATAATATACAATAACATCTTGAAAAATGGGATATAGCAAGGGATTTAGAGAAACTGAGGATTATAGGGATATAAAATACGACGAAGCTGGAATGGTAGCTACCAATACCACGCAACGCCCTGCCTAATGGCTCGGCATATAAGCCTACGAGTCTCATCCAAGGCGTGTTCCAAGAACAACTAACCAAGGTACCCCTCCCATCCGCATACACCCGAGACTTCGTAGTGTGCTCCTATCCGGATCACACACCACGACCCTTGGTCAACTAGAACTCCCTCTCGGAGACCTATCCAGTGAAAGTCCAGAACGCCCGAAGGCAAAACTGTCTACTGGCCAGAGACTCGGTACCTATGTACCAACATACATACTACATGCATGATCATGTTATTCTACACTACTCATATACATTTTCTACCATCACCCTCAACGGGTATGGTGAAACACACAAGGGGAACAAGCACCAGTACCAAGAGGTTACCTTAATAAGCCTCTTTACTTAGCTCCACAGCAGTATGCTCTCCGAGCTCGTTACTCAACAGAATGCCTACACAGAGGACATTCCCAATTTCTCAAAACTCATATGAATACATGCAATTATCAATTATATAGCATGATTCCAATCACTTACCTCAATCCCACTTGGTCCAGGACCAATGGCAATCCACTGACTCACGTTTCGGGGTTCAAATCGACGTACGACAACCTACAACACCATGTACGAATCATCAGTACACGGCAATTCGATTAAAATACGAAAAACACCAAAACTTACCCCTACACCTTGTAGGTTCGGCCAAAGTAGTGCAATTTTGAGATTTATTTTTTTAAATTTTCTTTCTCATTTTCCTAGGCATCCTTAGGTTGTTAATAGGCCATAGCAAGTGCCGTTTTTCATTTTACGTCTTTTAAACGACGTTTTGCTTAATATTTAACTCTAGGATCCTTTATGACTCTCAACACCACTTATTATTTTTCATTGATTCTCCAACCTTCCAACCACCACACAACCCATCTAAATACCATTTAACACATGATTCATCATCCAATCAATGCCAACAACATCAAATCCCCAAAATTCTCTAAATGACTGAATTGCAATATAAGCCATTCCAAAGGATTTTCACTTAATTTTAACCATTCCACACCACATACAATCTCATTTTATCAACATATAATCATACAACAACTCACCAATATAATCCTAACACATTTTCAAAATTCAAAGTCATGACAACCTCAAAATTTCTGAGTTACAAAATCATATTTTTCACCAATAAATTTCATTGCATTTCTAGCTCTAATACATCATTCTAAGACATTATCATCTAATACACATTTTTCAATTGAGCTCTCTAACAACACAAAATCCCCCTTTAGGGTTCATGAAATCAATCCAACAATTAAATCATGGAAATGATGTAGAAACTTACTCACAAGTTAGGCACAAGACTCCTCCTAAACATACTCCACCATTGGAGCACCTAGAAGCTCCATGAACACAAAATTTCTCCAAGAATTCGTGGCTGTGTTTGTAAGTTTTCTCACAAATGAGAGGGCTTCAAGGCTAATGGATGCCACCAATGTGTTTGGAAGGTTGTTTCCAACCAATTTCAACACAAAAAACACTTGATTTAGTTAAGTATTGATGGAGTTATACTCCACTTATTTTTTTTATAGTTATTGATTTAATTTTCAAAATCATGTAATTTAATTATTTATTTATTTTAAAATATATAAATTATATAATAAATTTAATATTTGTTGAATAAATAAAGGAATATAAAATTTTTAGCAAACAAGTTATTTAACTTTAAAATCCAAATACCATATTTTATCAAAAAAATCTTAAATGCTAAAAAGTATTTTTTAAAAAAAATTATATGATCTACAATTCAAATTAATGAAATTTATATTATCTTAATTAAATTTATATTATCTTAAATGCTAAATTAAACATTGGAATTCAAAGATCAACAACAAATAAAAGCACAAGATAATTTATATAATCTTATAAACTTGCAATCATTGAAGCAAAGGTTCAAATCCACAATTGCAAATAAGGATGTAAACATATCCAGGTCTCAACGGGTGTTACAATGCCTTTTGAAAAGAGTTCCTGCTTGAATTAATAGATCATATTATCCCCCCTTATGTACCCTTCTCATCCAGATTCCCTGAGTCAAAACCAAATAACCAAATCAGCACCGAAATTTGTAAACGCAAGTGATATATAACTAGCAATATTGTATAATATATAATATCAGATATATCAGCCAATGCCCCCTGTAGAATTGCAATAATAAATTATTATTATATATATAACTGCAATATCCTTTTTGCCTACGTAAAGAAGCTGCCATACAAATTAACAATTATGGTATCTGTATCTCAAAAATCCTGATTTATTTATTTATTTTTATTTATTTTGTGTGGGTGGTTTGAGTAAATGGTTATTGTTTTATTAACAGAAACTTTACTCAGTTCCAGACCTCATAAAGGCAAACTTTCGTCGCCACCATTTATTTGTCTATTACATATAGATCTCAAATAGAGAATAAAAAATACAATAATAGTATTATATATTATTATTGTCACACCCTGTTACATGTATGCAAATGAAACTATGAAAGTAACTTGCAAAACTGGTATCAAGATGAGCATCAACAGTTCACACATTTATATACACATGGAAGTAGACCGAGGGGATATGTGATCTATCAGATAATGGGAGGAGGAAAACAAAAAGAGCAGATACAGTGAAAACCAGGCACACATGTTCACCTTAATAATATCTGAGCTAGTGAGACAATGTTCATTAAGATCACATGACGCAGAGAAAAAGAAACAGAAAGAACAGAGAGAGCATTTGACCTTAATTACCATGTTTTGTTATAATCGATCAGTAGCAACAATCAATCAGTAGCAACAGAGGTCACACAATCCACATTTTGTTGGGAAAAGGAAAGCATCGTCGTCCCTACAAAAGAAGAAAATCATCTCATAGGTTATAAAATCAAAGTATAATAATTAATAACTATCAATTAATCTCATTATATTACCATGTTCAACTTTCTGAAGCTCCTCCTCTAAGCCATCAGTTGAACGCATTTCGAAGGGAGTTCCTTTCAGCCAATCTTGCGTGCAAATAAGGGACTCCACTATTTGAGGTGTTAAGCAACTACAATAATGATCAAGCACCCTTCCTCCAATACTAAATGCGGACTCAGAGGCTACAATTGAGATAGGTATAGCCAACACCTCTCTAGCAATATTTGCTATGATTGGGAATCGACTTGACTGTACCTTCCACCAAGCCAAAATATCAAAACTTGGAGAGGGATTCTCCAAAGCTTCCTCTAAATACACATCCAACTCAGATTTACCATTTGACTTGCTCATTTTTCTTTTCCGAAAAGGAACACCGTATATATCATCATCATCATCATCAAGTTGGGCTCCTTGTGAATTTCTTTGAGACCCTTCTTCACTATCGTTATATGCCTCAAAAAGTAAATTCAAACAAGAATCTAACTTTTTTTTCAAGTTAGCTAGCTCACCACAATCAAAATGCCGATTATCATCACTCAACAAAGTTAAAATATCCATTTTGCACCTCGGGTCCAACACAACTGCAATTAATAACAACATACTTCAATCCTTTGCATTCCCCAATACTTATCATACTTCAGCTTCATCTTTTTAGCCATCGCACTTATACTTTCATTATTAAGCTCACACATTTAGCGAATCTTTTTTCCAATTTTAAACACCTCTATCATATATATATTACTGGTAGCATAAGATGTGCTGGAAATACGCAAAGTGACTTCGTAGAAGATCTTCAAAAATGGTAAAATTGTACGAGCATAGTTCCAATCTTCAATTTCAGGCACTCCCTTTCCTCTTTGTAACTCAAAAACATATTTTTTATCCTCCAACTCAAGTAGTTCAAACGCCTTTTGGTGCTTCAATGCTGAATCTAGCATTAGGTAGGTTGAATTCCACCTAGTCTCAACATCTAGAGAAACCAAACAATTAGATTCAATCTTTTGTTTTTCAATGCACACCTTGAATTTAGCTAGTCTGGAAGAAGAAGATTTTATATATTTAACTGCAGCTCGAATTCTCAAGATGGAATCATCAACCTCTTTTAATCCATCCTTCACGATCAAGTTTAGAATATGTGCACAACAACGCATGTGCATATAATCTCCATTCAGAACCAAAGTGTTATTTAACCTCAACCCCCTCTTTAGGTATTCAATCCCTGTATCATTTGAGGAAGCATTATCAACTGTCAGACTAAAAACATGATCCAATCCCCACACACTTAAGCATGACACAACCATCTTTCAAACTTTGAAAATTCCACCTTTGAAACTTGAAAGAGAAAACAAAAAATATAGAAAAAGGAAGAAATAAAAAGAAGATAAATTACTTTTGGTTAGCCAAAAAAGGAGGAAAATTCCATACTCTTTTTCTTACTTTTCATCCTTTCATTCACCCACTATTTGATCATTGGAAACAGAACATTAAGAAATTGCTGTGTTGTGCTTTTACCAATTCTTCCATGGTATTTTAGAAAATGAACCGAAGCACAAAGCTAGCATTGCTTTTAACATTTTAATACCTAAAGGCTTGTTTCAAGTGTAGGTGATAACTGGCAAACATATATATAGTAACAGGAATATATGTGACAGCTGATAAATAAGATTGACTAATAGATTACTTGCCCATACAAGGGATTACCCTTGACTTTAAGGATCAGCATGTTGCATCAACATTAATTCACTTTCGTGCCTCTCACTTACTCATAGAGTGATTTATTGTGATATCCTAACAAGTACTAGTATTAGGGTGATTTATGAATTATTTATTAGCTATTAATGTTATCATTTCATAATCAATGTTAACAGCTCATTCTAGATATTAATACTCATGAAAAGAAAAAAAAAGAAATAAAATACTGTTTCTCAGGTCAGAAGAAAAAATGCTATTCACAAATTAAGTCAATGCTTGTACTAACATTTTTCTTCGAATTGGGTATAAAATGTGTCTGTAGCTAATTTTGCTGATGGCAAGCAAACAAACACTTCATTAGCCTCTCTTTGCATTAGACCAAAGAAGAATAGCATTTTTCTTTTCCTCCTTAGGCAATTCTTTCTAAGCATACACAATAGAATGGAACCTGTAGGAGCCATCCCTAATGGGGAATGGGATTGCTTTCTAAGTTCACTTCTTCTTGGGGAAGATCATGAATTGAACATTGGAACACAACCCACATTTTGCTCTGCTTCTGAACCTGGTGAAACTGAGCATATGTTTTATTCTTTAGATGCTCACAACTCAAATTCACAGTATATCTCACAAGAAAGTAGTCACACCAAGTACAAACTAAGCAATTTTTCACTTAATATATTATGTGCTGAAGCAAAGCTTGCACAATCATGTCAAGAAATCCAAACTAAAAGTAAAGTTGGATAATAAATAGTGATACCTGTAAAATGTACCAACATCATATTACACAAGCACATGATCATATATATATATATATATATATATATATATATATATATATATATATATATATTGTATCTCTCTAACAATACACCTACTAGATCCAAGCAATCCTGATTTCATAGATAGAACCTTGCTGAACAGTGAAAAGGGTAAGCAAGCAAAAAAGAAAAAAAAAATAGATAGAACCTTACAGAAAATCCAGAAAAGGGGCTTCCTCTGTGATGGTTCTCAATACCTACCAAATCTCCTTATTCTTCCTCTTGAATGGCGTTAAACCCAGTCACAAAGCTTGTTCCTAACCCCTAATCTGCAGCCACGAAATCTGCACACAAAGTAAACAATAAAACTCCATTATTAAGGAAGAGCGAAGAGAACCTAAATAACTGGGTATGGGTCAAGAGAGAAGAGCAAAGAGAGAACCTAAACAATGGAAGAACGAAGACTCAAGAGTGTTGGGAGAAGAGAGAAGTCAGATAACCTAATCCCAATTTGTCGTGATTTCTAGGTTTTTTTTTTAACATAACGGGTATGGGTCAAATTTTGAGTCAATGGGTTGATTATAAAATAAGTCAGGTCTAAAACCTGACCCACATAAAGTGGGTCAGTATTAAATCCAGTTAAAAAAAAAGGGTAATTATGGGTCAGGTCAAGGTCAGATCAAGGGCGGGGCGAGGTGAACTAGTTATTTTGTGCAGCCCTAATTGCTTCGGTGTCTTAGGTGGCTTAAGTGAGGTGGGCCCCACTGCCACCTCACGCGATTTCAAACTAACTTGAATTTCCCTCCGATTCCACTAAACGTCCATAAATTCACAACCTATTTAGAAACTCTAATTTTTAACATTAACCATTGTCCTTTAATTACCCTTGATCAGATGAATCCTGAGTTTTCCGGTCGTTCGGAGAAAATGTTGTTTTAAGCTATTGCGAGCGCCGTAGGCACGCTTCCCCAAACTTACTAATTTTCGTCAAATTTCACCAGAAATCATATTTCCTAGTACTATACACCATTTATAATTTGTATCCAAGACCTAGAGCTCAAAACTCAATCGACACGTTTTACGGTGCAAACGTACCGCGATATTTTTACCCGGTAAAAACACTATTCACTGAATTTTTCCTAACCACTCAACTTTTCGTTCTAAATCCATTTCCAGGGTTATTTTTATCATCGGAGACCTTCTACTCAATTTTTATCTTCCTAGGGTTGCGTGTTGGCTAATTACCGTTTTGCTCTTTCTTTGTATTTTGGCCTTATCTTCAAAATTTTCACTAATCCTTCCCTTTTATTCTCATTTAATATTTTAATATTTGATTTAGAATTGTGAGGTGTTATAGCCTTAGCCAGAAGGGGTGTGTGTGTGCGCTATTGTGATTGCATAAATTAGGGTTAAAGAGAGATCAGTCATACCTGTGGTCTTTAGCTCCTATTTATAGTGCTTACCTTTGGGCTTGTATAGGTTGGGCTCCTTGCGGGAGTGGGCCTTATCCAGGTCCATAACACTATGCAAGCTGAAATTCTAGCTTGGGAGAGCAACCATAGCTGGTCCATAGTTCCATTACCTTAAGGCAGACACTCTATTGGATGTAGGTGGATATATAAAATAAAATTCAATGTTGATGGTACTGTGGAAAGGAACAGGGCTATACTTGTAGCCAAAGGTTATAACCAACAAGAGGGTATTAATTTCATTGAGACATTTTATGCGATTGCTAAGTTGGTTATAATTACGACTTTCTTGGCTATTGCTTCATCCCAAAAATGGCATTTGTTTCAATTGGATGTTGATAATGCATTCTTAAATAGGGACTTGTTTGAAGATTTGTATATGGAATTGCCCATAGGCTATCACAGTAAAAAAAGGTTCTTCTACTAATTCCAAGTATGTATGCTCCATAAGGCTTTTTATGGCCTAAAACAGGCTTCTTAATAATGGTATGCCAAATTGTCTGGAGCTTTCATCAAGTTTGGTTTCTCACAATCAAAATGTGATTATTCCTTCTTTACTAAAGGTTTGGGATCCAACTTTATTGTGCTCTTGGTATATGTAGATGACATAATTCTTGATGGACCTTCTCTTTATGCAATTGGCAGTATTAGATCATTTTTCCAGTCCCAATTCAAGCTTATAGACCTTAGGCAACTCAAGTATTTTTTGGGATTGGAAGTTTCTCATGCTAAGAAAGGTATAATATTATCACAAATCATTATCTTGCAATTACTTGATGATACTGGTTTTTTAGCTTCAAAACTCAATGTTGTCCCAATGGACCCGAAGCTTGCTTTTAACAATGTAGATGGATAGCCTCTCTAAAACTCTACTTAGTATACGATTTTTGTTGGAAGAATTCTTTATTTGACATTAACTAGACCTGACATTACATGTTAAGTCAATTTGTTTCATAGCCTAGAACTCCTTACCTTAATGTTGTTCATAACTTCCTTAGATACCTTAAAAGCCATCCAGGTCAAGGTTTGTTGTTTCCTGCTTCTTCTCTTCTCCACTTTAAAGCATTTAGTGATGTATATTGAGGAGGATATCTTGATACCAGAAGATCAGTCACTGCTTTTTCATTTTTCTTAGAGATTCCTTAATATCGAAGCAAGACTGAGTATCTGAAGTGTGAGTTTTCTCTGGTAGGAGATGTAGACCAAGATCCTGTGCATCTAAGTGATCAAAAGGTACCCAAGAAAGACACTTTTAAATACTTGGGCTCCATTTTGCAAAAAGGTGGAGAGATTGATGAGGATGTAAATCATAGAATCAGAGCAGGGTGGATGAAATGGCGCAGTGCATCTGGGTTTTTGTGTGACCGCAAAATCCCCCTTAAGTTAAAAGGAAAATTCTATAAAACAGCAGTAAGACCTGCAATGCTATATGGAGCTGAATGCTGGCCAGCACATAGGCAACATGAGCATAAAATGGGAGTGGCAGAGATGAGGATGTTAAGGTGGATGTGTGGTTATACGAGGATGGATAAGATAAGAAATGAAGATATTCGACGAAAGGTAGGAGTACTACTGGTGGCTGAGAAGATGAGAGAACATAGATTGAGGTGGTTTGGGCACGTAATGAGAAGGCCCCTGGATGCACCCGTAAGAACAAAAGTTTGTTACCAAGAGCTCAACACAAAAAGAGGTAGAGGTAGACCGAAGCTTACTTGGGGGAAGGTGGTAAAACAAGATTTAATGGAGTGGGATATAGATTGACGGATGGTATGTCTTAGAACAGAATGGAGAAAAGCTATAAGCATGGTGGAGGGTTAGACCCGTTGTTATTCCTATGTTCCAGATGGTCCCTTTTTAGTCCTTTTCCCCTTCGTTTCCCCTCTTCTTCTTTTCCCTTTCTTTTTTACTTTTACTTTTATATTGAGATATACAGAATTGTTCAAACTATAGAGGCATTAAGCTAATGAGCCATACTATGAAGTTGTGGGAGAGGGTTATTGAGCATCGCTTGAGGAGAGATACCAAGGTTTCTGTAAATCAATTTGGATTTATGCCAGGAAGATGTACCATGGAAGCCATTTTCTTGATGCGACAACTAATGGAAAGATATCGAGAAAAGAAAAAGGACTTACATATGGTGTTCATAGACCTTGAGAAAGCATACGATAGGGTTCCAAGGAAAGTTTTATGGTGGGTTCTGGAGAAGAAAAAGGTACCATCAAAGTATGTAAAGGCAATCAAGGATATGTATGATTGGGCTACTACATGTGTGAAAGCTTGTAACGGAACATCAAGTTATTTCCCTATCACGGTAGGTGTACACCAAGGGTCACCTCTAAGTCCTTATCTCTTTGCCTTAGTTATGGATGAACTAACAAAATA